AAACCGAAATTAGAATTTCACGAGCTGGTCTCACGCAGACTCAAGTTGAAGCTCGAGTCTTTATGCGAATATGAATTCATGAGTAGGTCTTTTGAATTCAAGATTAGCTATACACGAATTCGAATTCATACTTATCTCTTTATGATTATGCGATCTGTAGATTTGTTCATTCGTATCTGGTCAATATCCATTTTCAAATTTAAATGCACAGGCTCGAGGTCCAGCAGAGCTATCGTATGAGGAGAACTAGGACACTGTCTCTTCTCATTGCCCGTTCCTCCATGTACATTCCATAATCACCCAATTTGGTGAGATTAGAGAGAACTCAGAGATGAGCCCAATGACTCTGACCTCATTAAAAATGGACTTTTGGTGAAGAAGATATGGTCCACCAAAGTCATCGTATATCTGCAGGAATATATGTCAATGATATCAAGGAATTGTTGATGCAACGGCTTCCCACACCCATTTCAAATATTTCCACACCTTTTAAGTGTGATAGAATATTGAGCCAAGGATATAATGGTCCTAGTCCCATTGGAAAATTCCTCATATTTAGGGATAAATCCCAATTTTTGTGGCCAAGTATTGTTCTGTCTATAACACACAAGAAATAGGGCGTTAAAGGCTCCAACCATTGGGCTATATGGAAGATGGGTTAAGCTACTTCCAATTGATATGAAATTCAAGGAGAGGGTTATAATGCTTGATCTTGGGTCCCTGAGAGTTTTGGCTTAATCCAAAAAACATCAAGTCGAGGTGTCAGTCAAGGCATATCCGGACTGACAGTGGATACAGACATGGGTTAAGTCAGGTCCAAATATCGCCCAAGTCATATCACCCCTGGACTTTAAAGCATATAAGGCCTCAATATGTATATCTTTAAAGATTACCTCAATATATCAACATATGGCTAGGTTTTCCCTATGCTCCATCTGTTAAAACCCTATTATCTTTAGTAACTGACGGATTTAAAAGCGATATCACATCTCACCCAGAACTCTTTATTATCCAGTGGAGAGGCATTTGTGTGCCATGGAACATATGCATTTCAGAGTTCTGTCTCAAATAGACACGAGTATAACTAACGGTAAATGCTAAAATTAAGTCATATATGTTCCTCCATATATTACATGGATATGAATTTATAGAACCATAGGGGTATTTGTATCCTAGAATCTGTCTCAAGATGAGATGACTTTAATATCTTAAGTCAACATTGAATATGCTTAGGTGAGGAGTTATTAGAATTATATATTTATCGCTCGTGAGTAAGAACATTTAGGGACTAACTGATGAATCAAGACTCCACATGCATATCAGGCCTCTCATATGATGCATCTTGATCATATCATATACATCATATCATATGGGGCATGTCAAAGTAGGCATTATCAAGAACAATACTCCTCTCTTTATCGATTGTGAGTTAAGATAAATGTCCACATCACATCATGGGCATTGTTGTACAGTATTTCAGTACATCGAGCATTCATTAGAACACACTTTGTCTTATGTGGGACTAGGAGATATATCCATCGTACAACAAGTTTGCATGTCCTTATTGATCATGTGTTTAGAATGCATCTAGTCATGTATGTGACTAAAAACACACCCAGCACTCGGTCCCTCCAAACGCGCCTGACCCACATAGTCATCTCAACCCAGGTTGACCTACTCAAGGTGAGAGTCTAGCCCAACCAAGTTAGGGTCCTTCAAAGACCCACACTAGGGGCTCTAAGAGTCAGAATCCGTGCCATCACGAGTCATCCAAATGGGGCATGCAGTTGGAGTTCCCTAGGTTCTATCTACAACCTCAAGAACCTCCCTTTTGTTAAGTCCTTCTTGAGGCGTGTTGGCCTCCTTGAGCCACACAACCCACCTGGGTTCCAAGCCGTCGCTCAGGTCAAAGTCAAGGGGCCTCTTTTTCCCCTAACTAACAGTCTTGTCAGTTCAACCACATTGGGAAGCGGGTACTGCCAAACCTCTTGTCTTGAACTTCCCATAGAATCGGCTCGACCACGTGATCAACCGTCTCATAACCAGTCCAAACCTGACACTCCTCACGACACAGACAACCACCCATTGATGCAGTCTCTTTAGGCCGCCCCAATTTCATACCATCATTCTCAGGTGGCTTATTTAGCCTTGCATCAACTCATTCGTTCCAGTTGGCTCCCTACCCCTCGACCAGACCACCGACCTCTAGTCATCCATACCTGCGGTATCCTATACACTAAACCCAATAGTCCACTTCCAGTCACCGACCCCGGCTTATGGCTTGTCCAATTCAAGTCTCTCATTAGACCTATCAGTTTTACCCACCGACCTAGGCACCTTTGCTTGTGCCAACTTCATATCAGGCTCCAACCGTCCCCGCCCAGGCCCCTTTGCTTGTGTCACCTTCTAAACTGGCTCAGGCCACTTCGCAGACTCAGCTTGCCCCGAGTCTGATGCAACCCACATCAACTGCATCTATTGTACCTCAAACATTGCCATCAATTCCCGGCAACCAGTAGACCACTGAGGTTGATACCCCTGAGTCAACTAAGCTCATTCAACAAAAAAGAACCTTATTAGCAATCAAAGAAAATTTAGCTATGATTGGAGTTTGAAATACCCTCCCTCCAAGATCTTACATTAAACATAGTTGGGGATGTCGAACCCCTTCCTCCAAGTTTCGTATTACCAAAATTCGACGACAAGTTCAATGGGAAAAGTGACCCTAACAGCCATGTCACTGCTTACCAATTGACTGTTCTAGATCTTGAAGTAAAAAACCAAACCGTCTCAAGACCATGTTCCAATACACTCTTTCCGGACAACCTCTAACGTGGTTCCAAGAAGTATCAAAATATCTTGACCAAAGTCCTAGTGAATTGATTCGGTATTTTGTCAAACAATATTGCAGAATGAAGCAACAACCAATGACCCTCAGGGAGTTGGTGGGGAAGAAACAAAATGTAGGTGAGTCATTCCCTGACTTCGCCAACCTATTCAGGAAGACCGCATCAAAAGTCATTGATTGTGCACTTCCTGAAACTTCACATATGAGCTTGTGCCTGGAGAATTCTCTATAAGAGTACATGAACATCTTTAGCCACGAGCTACGACCTTTTTCATTTCAACAAATGATCAACCAAATCACTTTTTATGAAAGGTCAAAGGTCGCTGTCGTTAATGCGAAACCGGAAAATCCGACAGTGGCAGCACCATCCCAAGTGAAACCAAAGAGCAACAATAACAACAAGATAAATAATACTACAGCCCAAGGAAGCTAAATTGTCATGGTGTCGGCTCCACCCCAAGCACAAAAGAATAAGAATCAACCTAAGGGCACAATTAGAACGAATAATTTCGATAACAATGCCAATATTGGAGGCAAGAAACCTTTATGGATCATAAGCTTCAACCATTGCAAGCAGCTCTCTCGACTATAGCGTAGTTTGCTAGTACTACAGCTTTAGCCCACAGAGAGCAATCTGAAGTTATAGACCTAAGACCGCTAATATGTGGCTTTAGGCCATAGATAGAGCGGTCCAAGGTTAAGGACATCCGACAACTAGTCCTATGTCTTTAGGCCACATAGAGAATGCTCCAAGGTCCCTGACCTCAGAACCATCCATAAGTGACTTAATTCAAGGTCACAACCCTATGTTTGAGAAAATAATTAAAAAATAATTATATTAGAACATGTCCTATGTTGGTAATATGAGGCTAAGGGGAATATTTAATAAAGAAATAAAAAGACGAAGGGGACAGACTTAGGCCACAATATTTGAGAAAATATGGACCTTTATGCATTTTCATAGTAATTTTTGCGTCCATACATAATTTTTCCTAATTTTAACTCTATCCATTTTAATTTTTTATTGGCCTACCATTTCGTCACTTACATCTCCAAGATGGCTGGGACATGCTTCAGAGGCAACAGTAGTGGAAATGCATTTCCCTGATGCACAAACTACTTTTCCAACATTATTTCGCAATTGCAAGGACTTGACCTAGGAACACCTTAAATATTATGCTTGTGTATTTCTTCAAACATGTGACAATTTTCCAATTCATGTGAATTTCACAGTTTGGATTGCCATTCCCATTATATGAGGAAAAAGGAGTGCAAGAGAGAGAGAGGGGTCATGTCGTTGTGAAAGTAGAGAGTGTTACAATTCTACTAGAATCGTGATATGCTAATGGCATTTTAAGAAAAAAACGAGATGTGGGTGTAGAAGAAATCGGATATTTACAAATTATTTAAAGGATATACATGTAAGGTGGTGCGTCTCTAAATTTTGCCAGAAGATTTAGTCTCGGAGTTGGAAACTTTATAATGTCTTGAAAATTCATGTTCAACCTTAATTGTGCAATTTTAAAATTTAAAAGCGATGCCGATTGAGCCTATCTATAAACGCTTGAACATCTTGAAAATAGATGGGCCAGGAAACATGTTCATAGATGCACTACTTTAGGACTTGAAATTCTTTTTGCTTCTTTGCATCTTCAAATCTCGTGGTCGAGATGATTAATCGGAAGGTTTCCAAATTGGAAACACTCTTTTCTGCTTTTGTAGTTTAAGGTTCCAACATTATATAATTTTTTTTCCAATCTTTTGTGACTTCCCTTTAATAATCCTTCTGATGGCTTTGAAATCAATTTTCAATATTGATTATAAAATTTAAATCTAAAAAAATTGCACAAAACATGTGGATCTAGAGCACATGTTTTTTTTTAGGGAAAATTGAATGGTCAAGATAATGTGTTACAAAATTTACTATTTTTGGAACATAAAATACAAATGTTTTTCTTTTGAACACCATAATGGCCAAAGACGAGATGATAAATTTGAAGATTTTTCCAAGCAAGAACTACCATTTTGTGTGAGTTTTGAGGTGAGGCTTTACTTATTATGACGAGGCTGCAAACCTATCAAATCAATTAACTAAAATATTTGTCTGGATAATTTCTTATAAGAGCATTGTAGTCCTAAAGACATTGAGAGAACCAAGGAGGAGTCAAATGTGAAGAGAATGGAGCTAACGCTATGCTGGTAGTTCCGCGATGTTCCAGTCGAAGGTCACGGCCACGTCCTCGCGCTTCTTCATGTTAACGGAGATGAGAATATCTCTCAGTTCCGTAACCTTCGATCGATCATCCAATTTCGCATCTGAAGCCCAAGAATTGCAAGCGAGATCCTGGATGAATAGCATGAGAAATATCACGGCGTTGCATTACTTTGCCAGGCCAAAACAGAGAAGCCCCAATGCAATATAGAGCCCTCTCTCTCTCTCTCTAAAATCAGAATGCTCATCCTTTTATCTCTGTCTATGTTTCATATATATAAACCACTCACTCGACCCAGAGCTCTCTCTCTCTCTCTCTGTGACACACTCACTGATTCATGAATTCTCAAAGAATGAGGAGATGGCTCGTAGAATCAGCCATGGCCATTCCGGGCCAAAGGGAAGAGGCTCGTGAGGAAAACTTATTCATGACGATGTTGTCCGAGATGGTAGACAGATTCGATGACATGGCCGACTACATGACCACCATCTCATGCACAACCGGCCATTGACCACTCAACAGAAAGGAGCGCAACATGCTGTTCCTGGCCTTCAAATCCCTGGTCAAGCCTCGCAGTGCCTCATGGCGCAAGATTAAAGACATAGAAAGGGTCGAGGAAGAACCCCACTGCTTGGCTATCATTACGGATTAGCTCTCACGAATCGAGTCCGAGATCGTTTCCATCTGTGAGCGTGTCCACCATCTTCTCAACTCCTACCTCATTCCATCTGAGGACTCTGCCAAAGCCAGGGTCTTCTACCGGCAGATGAAGGCCGACTACTTTGGGTACCTCGCTGAGATCAAGACCGATGAACAAATGCTAATTGAGGCCTACAAAGCCCACTTGAACTATGAAGGGGCCATGGAAACAAACTATTGGGGCATATCTTTCTTATTTCTTGGTTTTCTTTGCTATCTAGATCAATTTTTGGGGTTTCTTCATGTCTACTCAAGAAAGTGAGGAGGGTTTGATCTGGTGTTTGCCTCTCTTCAGATAATCACGATGGCGGAACTGAGACCTGCAAACACCACCAGGCTAGGGGCACCTCTCAATTTTGCGGTATTCAAAGCGGATATCCTCAATTCCACCAAAGAGGCTTATGCTTTGGCTGTAGAGGTTCTTCCTTCGTTCCTCAATTTCTTTTCTGTGAATCTTTTTTTTAATCTTTTCCTGTTCCATTTTGGGTTTAATACTCGGAATATTGGAGAATGGTTCTTTCCTTTTTCTTGGGTTTTCTCCTTTTTTCTTTCTGTGTGTTATGGCATGATCGTAAAAAGGTTTATGGGCTTGTGTGATCAGTCGTTCCAAGAGGTCTTAGAGGGGTTGGATGAGCATGAAGATGACCTCGATGAGAGAGGGTCCATCACGTACTCCATTTCCGATAATATAGAACTCTGGACCTCCGACTAAGGTCCAGGAGGTCTTTCTCTCACATTTCTCCTTCCATTAATCACCATCTACTGAGCTTCCCTATCTGATAACTCGTGGATCTGTTGGTTTGTTTACAGGTTGAAGGGGATCACAATATCGAAAAGGCCGAATGGGGGGAAAGTAGTCGAGTTTGTTCTCGGATTCTCGTGTCCCCGTCCACAAAGAAAACCTAGACGAGCAGCCTTCCAACCCACTATCTTCCCAAGAATTCCTTTTTTCATTTTGGTGCAAAACTGATTCCAGTCACGACATGGTGAGAGTTTTTCGTTTCTTTTGTTGTTATTTTTTGGGGGCTGTTTATGCATTTATGCAAAAGTTTGCGCTAACAGAGCACCATGTGAGGCAGTAACTCAATTATTCCATTGATTCATTCAATCTGTTTTGTGGTGTATACCCAGGATCTGTGTTTCTTTGCTTCATGTACACGGCATAAAAAGCAATTTCTTTCAGTATGTCGTCAGTGGAAGGGGTTCATTTCAGTTCGTGGTTAGTTATCTGTTTTCTTGCGAAGAATGTTAAGAAATTTGCACCTCCAATTCTTTTCTGAGTGACGGATTTCAATCCCTTCTTTCTTTTTAGTATGACGGATTTTGGATTGGATTTAAGAAAAGTGACTCCGATGAATAGGCGTGGAAGAGTTGAGGGCACGGGTATATGTTAGAGAGAGAGAGGGACTGGAATGATTACACAGAAAAATTAGCTTGAACTTGCCGGGGAATGCACACACGCCTCAAATTTGAGATATATCTAATTTGTACAATAATTATGAAAATTTAAATAGACAATTGTGACCGTATGATGAACTTTGAACGGTGATGAAGTGTAAGTGAAGAGAACTTCACCTATAGTCGTTTTGTAGATGCTTCCATATATTACTCAAATGCAATGACACTCTTTGAAAACCATTTTTGTGATATTTGTATAACCCCAAATTTTGCACACACACTCTCTTCATCTGAATAATCATTCCCCAAAAAACAAACTTCAATTTGAACCCTAAATATGGTCAAAATGAATCCTCTCCAAAAATGAATCTCGACCTTTCATTTTGTGAATTTCAAAATCTTAGCCTTTACTCAAAATCAGTTTTTTTCTTTTTTAACATTGTTCATCTAATAATAATAAATCCATCCAAAAAAATTGAAAATAAAAAAATCCTTCTAAAGTCTAGATTTAACCATCTCACCAAAATGAACGGCCTATGTTAATTAGGCTAAAAAAGCACTCTCTAGGTTGGGTTTTCAATTTTTTCGTTTTTTACGATTGTTCATTAGAGTGAAAAGAGTGTATATTTCAAATTTTGGATCAAACAATTGGCTATAAAATGGTTTTTTAAGGTTGTTGCATCATATTACTATACAATGGTTGCATGAAATCATTGCCCACATATATATATATATATATATATATATATATA